TGGGGGCCCCATGGGCAGCACCCCCTCCTCTCTGCTCCTCCCACAACAGTGCAAGCTCAGCCCCCTAGACCTGCTCCTTCCTGGGCCCTCCTCACCCCACCACCAACTCCAGGGCACACAGGTCAAAACCCTCCTGGGTTCCTCATCTCCCTCACCGCCCTCTACCCCCATCCAGCCCCCTCACACCCCACAGCCCCTTCCCCACCAAGCAACCAGAGCATGCTCTGCAAAACTGACTCAGTGCTCACTGCCCTGCTTCAACACTCCAGCACCAAGTGAACTCAGAACAAAACCAAGGCAGAGCCAGGGTCTCCGGGGCCCCATGTGGCTGGCCCTGCCTATCTCAGCCCCTGTCCCACACATTCACTTAGCTTCTGTGGCTCAAAGGAATCATACTCATTTTGGCTTCAGGGCCCCTTTGCAAGTTCCCTCTGCCTGAAAGCTCCACCCTCAGCTGATGTTTCTCACTCAAGCCACCTTTTCTCCTGACCACCTAGAGCAGGCCCTGGTCACTCAAATTCCCACTACATGTTTCATTTCCCTCTGCACACTCACCACTATCCAGCATGGTTTTACTCAGGGGTCAGCAAACATCTCCCACAAAGGACCAGATAGTGAACATTTGCCACACTGCAGGCTAGAAGGTCTCTGTCTCGAAATTCAACTCTGCCATTGTAGCATGAAAGGTGCATGGCCAACGTGTGAGTGAATGGGCATGGCTGTGTGCTAATAAAACTTTATTGACAAAACACAGCAATGGACAGGATTTGTCCAGGGGGGCCACAGACTGTGGTCCCTGGTCTTATCTGTTTACCCTCCCACCAATCTGAGAGGCCAGAGGGCAGCAAGGGAATCCCACTGGTCACTAATGTGAGTGGCCTAGGCACCTAGATCCCTACATGGCTCACAGTAGGTGTCGGATAAATGTTCAATAAGCATTGTTCAAGGGCTAAGAGGCAACTGCACATCCTCACATACTCTGAGTCCCACAGCAGACTCCAGCTTGTGCCAGGCTCTCCAAGCAGCAGTCTATGATGTGCAGTTCCCTTTGACTTGCGTGTGGACCTGAGGAGGGAAAACCCCAGCGCTCACATGGAGTCGACTACATGCCAGGCACCCTTCTAAGAGCTTTGCACATCAATTCACTCAGTCAAGCCCTATAAGAAAGGTATAGTCATCACACCCATTTCACAGATGGAGACACTGAGGCGTCTGGTAAAGGTGGTCCAGTCCTCAAGGCCTTTCCATGGAACAGACCAAGGCTGCCAGTCCAAAAGGCTTATGTTGCATTCCTAGAAAGTGGCCAGGGTGGAATTCAAACTGGGAGCTTTCTGTCTCCTAAGGTCACAGCTTACTCACAATAAGGGGACAAGGGGCACTACAATCCCTGGTTACCATTCACCCACAGCTACAGAGAAGGCCTCCAGTGATGATGCCTGCCCCACCCCAGGCACACTGACCCCTCATTGTTCTTCAAGCACATCAGGACTTTGCTTGAATTGTGCTGTCTTCTTACCCTTCTCTCAGGCCTCCCTCAAATAGCAGGGGAAGCCTCACTGAGGAGGAGTTATTTCAGCAAAAGGTTGAGCAAACCAAGGAAGCAAATGACAGATATGGAGGACGAGCTTTCTAGGCAGAAGGCATAGCCTATGCAAAGGCCCTGGGGCAGGACTATGCCTGGAGTGTTAAGAGAAACTGTGAGCTCTATGTGGCTACAGCAGAGTGAATGAAGGTGGCAGAGGCAGGAAGTGAGGGTGGGGAGGGGACAGGGGCATTTTGTGCAGGGTCTTGTGAACGACGGGCAGGATCTGAGCTTTTACCTGGAGGAAGTTGGGAGTCCTGAGGGTTGTACACAGAAAAGGGACGGGACCTGACTCAGTTGTTAATGGGAGCCTTCTGGGGTTAGCTGTAGGGAGCATGTGAAAGGACGAAGAACCAGGCCAGTGATGGATGATGGGGCTGGACCAGGTGGAAGCAGAGGAGGGGGAGAAGTGTGCAGATTCTGGGTCCATTTTGAAGGCAAAGCTACATAATTTGCCACCAGATTAGATATGGGAGGGGTTGGGAGGTCTGGGAAGAAGTCCACTGCTCTGAGATATCACAGGAACAGGAAGAACAGGAGGGAAATGGCTCTGAAACAGCAGACCACAGCTCAGCCCAAAGCCCACAGGCAGCTAAGAAGCCCCACAGCTGGCCCTGTGAATGTGTCCAAGCCCCAGGAACCAGGCGCCCCATACAACCCCCAAAAGCCAATGGAGAACCCCCTCAAGCCTTCTCTGGACCAGGACTTGGGAGCACAGGTGTTTAAAGTAACCAGATTCTAAACACCGAGATATGTTTCACCTCCCATCAGATTGGTCAAAATGATGGAGGCTGATAACATCTGGAGCTGGCAACGCTGTGGGGAGACAGAGAGTCTCTCTTGGCCCCTTCCACACCTTCCTGGAAAGCAATCAGGTATCTGATAGTCATTTTTCAATCTGCTAGACCCTGACCCAGCCATTCCAAGATGGGACTCCAATTTTGAGGAACGGAAGCACCCATGTTCAAAGACAGGCCATTTACTGCTTCTAACATCAAAAGGCAACTCCACAAACAACCTGAATGTCCCTTAACAGGAGGCTGGTATCAGTAACGGTTGGTGCCTACAGCAGTTGTCACTAACATTCATCAAGCACTCTCACCCCATTTTATAGATGGGGACACTGAGGGCTAGGAGAGGTTGAGGCATTTGTTCTTCAGTGGAACCAGGCAGTATAACTCTGGGATTTCCACCCTCTTAACCACAACATAGTATTCTTTCTCTCTGAAAAAAATAATGGATACCAACATAGAGAAAAAGATCCACACTATTACAGACAAAAAGGAAGCAAGTTACAGAACAATAGGTATAGTACAGTGGCTTCCCACCAGGGTGATTATCTCCAGGGGACACTGGGCCATGTCTAGGGCATCTGTAGTTGTCATAACTGGGAGAAGGAGCTCCTGGCATTGGGTGGGTGGGGGCCAGGGATGCTGCTCAACACCCTCCAGTGCCCAGGACAGCCTCTCCAAAACAAAAAAGTTTCTGGCCCAAAAAGTCAATAGTGCCAAGGAAAGAGACCCTGGTGTAGCATGAACCACCATGGTGAAGAACATGCACACCTGTTTATGTGTTTATGTATTTGTACAGCAGTAGGAAAAGGGTGGGCAGCTCTTACACAAACTTCACAGAACTTAGGTCAGGAGAAGTGGGTTTGGACGGGGAGAGGCAGCTCTTTAAAGAGAGTAAAATAAGTGATTAGCTGGGGGAGACAGATTTCTGTGGATTTTGCTGACGGGCAGGGAGGGCCAGCCCGTATTTGCCAGGTCCCAACGCTCAGACCCAGCCATAGCCAGGGGGCTGGGCCTTTATCTGTCCCTAATCAGTTCACCCAACCCCTGAGAAGATAAAAGTTTGCTCTGTAGCTTTCCAGTGGTCACTGATTCTGGGGCTATTTTGTCTCTGACCAGCTGGCCAGAGGGCTGATAGCAGAGGTCAGGGTGCTGAGAAAGGTGATGCTACCCAGGCAAGGATACTGGCTGAAAAGGCGAGGCGACTGAATGGTCAGAAGGAAACAGGTCATCTACCAGGCAGTTCCAGATGGCAGTGGGAAAAGAAGCAGTGGGAGTCTTCCAAAGCCCAGGATGCTCACTCTGGCTCTCTCTTCAGACACTTCTCCCAACTCCCAGGCAGCACAGCATCTCCCTGCCTGCCAAGAAAGCTTTTGGAGGCCCAGGGGAGAAGGAGGATGGATGCCCATGTGGGTATCTACAGGACTCCGCCCATGAAGGCTACTTGGGAGGAGCAAAGGGTTCTTTGGATCAGGAAACTTCCTATTTGGGAGCTTGTGACCTCAGGGAAGGAACCACAGTGGCTCACATCTGTACTCCACGCCAGGGAAAGGGGGCCTGGAGCTGGCCCGGCTAGGCGAGGCTACCTCATTCTCTACACCTGCTTTGCTGTAGAGTGAGGAAAGCAAGTCAAGAACAGGGGCACCAGGGAGCAGTGGCCCTCCATGGCTATAGCAGATCCCCAGTGTCCAGAGAGAAGGCATAAAGGGCCTACTCTTCCTGTCTGCTTAGAGAGCCCCAGCACTGAGGGTGCCTTGAGATGTCATGCCCTTAGCCACCCCTTGTGACAGGGAGGTAAACTGAGGTCCAGAAAGGGAAGAAATGGCCAGTGCACCAGAATGGGGCGAGTCCGTTGACTTTCACTGACAGAACAGATAGTCAGGAGACTGACCCAGATGGCCACAAAGACCCTCCCTCCTCCACCTCAGCTGCCCCTGGCCTTTCAGGGCAATAAGATGTGCCCATAGGGCTGAATGCTTGTGAGGGGAAAGGGTGAGGCCAGGAAGCTGATACCAGCAAGGTGTGTGGCCCAGAAAGTGGGTCCAGACAGGGGGGCACATCTGGTACAGTATCACCTCCTCATGCCCCACCTTGGAGACAGGGCCCCCTCATTGGAACAGGGGTGCTTCATCATTCCACACACGCAAAGCAGCCCCCCTCCCAACAAAACTGGAAAGAGGTCGTCCCTGAGCGCCCTGAGCAGGAGACGGAACACTCGCCCACCACGGGTCTAAGAGGGGTCTCACCGGCCCAGAGACGAGGACCGGTCTTCCCCGCATGCTTCTAAAGCAAGATGCTCCACCCACAGCCTCTCAGAACGGGGCCCTGCACCCACTCCCGCCCCCAGACGGGCGCCCCCCCAAGGGACCCCCGGAATAGGCGGCACCACTCCCAGCCCCCAGGAGGGGGTTCCATCTTCCCCCGGGCCCCGGGAGGCGAGTCCCCCGGCCGGGTCGTGGGGCGTTCCATGCCCCCCCCGCGATCACCCCTGAGTGGAACGTTCCGGTCTCCCAGCAGCGGGGCTCGGCGCCCCTCCGGCACTCGGACTCGTCCAGTGGGCCCCGGCGGGGGCAGCAGGCGGGTCCACTCCGGGTGCATTGAAGGGACGCGAGGTCCGGAACCGTTACCTGCCGCCGCGCCGCTCTCCGAGGCCCAGGTCGCCTCCGAGGTCACGGTCCCTCCCTCGGCGCTCTCCCCCTCATCCGGCACTTCTAGCTCCATGGCCGCGCGCGCGGACCCGGTAGCGAGCCGGCGGCCGGAGGTTACGACCCGAGCTGTG